AGCTTGCAAGAGTTTTCCGCGAGTTTTACCAATTTTTTTTTAACGTTAACAAAGAAAAATAATCTGCGACTTTTTACTACCGATACCTAGTTTGGAGATCAATGATTAATTAAGTGTACGTACGTATCAGTATACATGTGCAGTCGACTCTATAACGAACCTATTTATAACGAACTCTGGATATAACGAACAATAAATTTTTATTTTCTATTGTTTCGTTATAGAGAGAGTAGCATATACAAACATAATGATTTTATAACGAGCTTGTTTTACTAACAGAACCGTCAGTTACACAATTACGTAAGTCTTGCGAAATTTAGATTGATGCAAATTGTTAACATCATCAAATATTGGTTTATGCTTACATTAAATTTAAATTGAAACTGAAATAAAAACTAAGTTTATTGTGGACGAGCATCTTTAATGTCTGCTAAGATAGCTAGTAGAACATTTAGATTGTTTGAAACTTATTATTGGATTACAAGTTTGACTGTTCGAAGATTTTTGAAAAAGAAGTTTAATAAAAATAATTTGCTAATTTACTCTAAAGAAAAAGCATGTATTCGAAAATAAAAAAATTTATTTACGCGTGTAAAAATATATTTTGAATCTGTGCCTCCAAAATTTATCAATTACGTACTCAAAGTATACTGGTACATAGTGAATTTATATCATTTGATAGCACAAACTTCCACGTTTTTAACTCCGTACAGTCAGTTCTTTATTTAACAATGGGTCGAGAACATATAGTAAAAATTGAAAAATGCTACTATTTCAAGAAATTGAGCCTGACTCTTATATGCACTCTTATGGAAAGGAATTCATTGTCGTTAAATCGCATAGTTGCTAAATCGAGATCTGACTGTATTAGGGACCATCGATCTTTTGCAAAGACTGGACCGAATCACGGTCCCAAACTGACGGGATCGAACTGAATAGTTCATTTAGTCCAATTCATTCCCATATTTTTAACGTTTCAGATAATACTAGAACAAATGAATTAATCAATTAAGTTTATTCTATTATTGTTTGTAAAAAGTAATAACATAAACTAATCATAAAAAATATAAAACTATGCAACAGGAGAAAAAATTAGTACTGAATCTCAAATAGTTAACATTAACGTTACGGTTATTTATGGCGTTACAGATAATTACTATTAACATTAAAGTAATTTAGAAAAATGCCTGTAATTATGATGCAAAAATTTCGGCAGCAACTTTTGGGATCCCCCACTAGTGTACCCTAGTTATATCCGTTAAAAAATCTCACCTGAATGGATGATTTCTGCTGTCCCTACTGTAGAAATATTAAAACAACTTAGTTAATATATTAGGCTAAGCTCAAAATATTTTAGTGGCGAAGAAGCGATAATAATTTATACAATTTATAATAGTAATTCAATGAATATTCAAATTTTGATAATAAGTAATACGTTCTATTTATTTGGCTATAACATAAATTACTACAGTGGGGGTCAGATCCATTTTACCTTCCCATGCCAAACCTTATAGTTCGATGAGGGAAGGTTGTACGAAAAAAATAACTCGGTCAAATTGTTGCCGAGGTCAATTGGCTATTATTTGGCCAAGTTATTTTTATTGCACAACCTTCCCTCATCGAACTATAAGCTTGGCATGGGAAAGGTAAAATGGATGTAACTTGCTGTCCCCCACTGTAGTACAAATACATGTATCTGATCTGATTGGCAGACAAACCACAAAAGGAATTATATTTTAGCTAATTTAAACAGTTATCGGAGTTATTTCATTTAGGAGTAATATACACGGTTTGTTCATTCTTTTTCGAATAATCAATAAATTAATCTATTACCGGCTGGTTATGTTACTATCTAAAACTTTGTAATGATCTATAATAATTCGATAAGTTAATATTGCTAAGAATTTTTTATAATCTATTTCATCCTTATACATCTAAAATAACACAAAATCTACCCAATCCGACTATTATTTATTGAGGATTTATCTTTAGAACACGTTTTTGCTACGGCGCTATGGTCAGTTTTCTTCGGAGAATCATTATCCAAAAAAATTTATTTAAGCAGTTTTTTCTTGACAAGTTATGTTTCCTAGAGTTATCCATATCTGACCCGAAATTATTACAAAGTCGGTTTTATATTTTCGTAGTATATAAATCGATTCGATCTGAAATACGTACAGATAGCCGGCGGTTAACAGTTACTTCATATTCAAGCATTTTTCCGCTCTCTGAAAGGCCAAAACACTGTTTCGTAACAGTCACCTGGATTTATAAGAATATTCAACTAAACCAGACCAGATAGTAGATAACCGGTTACCCGTCGAGCGAACCTTATACCAAAAAAATCGAATATATGAAGCTTGACCTGACAAATCACGGTTTAAATGTCCGGAAATCAAAATTACTGAGAAGTATGTTCTAGTCGAATATATTTCAAACAACTATACAAGTTCTAATATTTATCCAACATTCATCCAGAATTGCTCATTTTGGTTAGATAATGCTAATACGTTTTTACAGTAATTTAACTGACAAAAGTCAAATAGGTAATAATTGTTAATTTACTTTAATACAAATTGCTTTACTAAATCTTTTCGATTTTCAATAATCATGCTTTCTGAAAAGACAGCTACAAGTTTCTAATCTTTGCAATACAGTCACATACTCTTTTAAATGAATTTATAGGACCAATTCTAAGAAATATGTTAAGAGAAATGTGATTGTACAATTGTCATTCATTCTCTTAATTGGAACTGGCGCTGTATAATTTATTTAAAAGAGTGTGTACGTATTTAATGTAGAATAATCATTCAAATTGCTAAAATTTATCCTATCAAAATTCATTCAGCAAAGATTGTGAGATAAATTGTTCATCGAAGCGATATTATTCATCGTTATTGAAATTAAGGATATTTTTTTTGATTTTGGATTACAGATGTGTTCTGAAATAATACAAGTGACAGAATAAAATGAGGATCTTTAAATAATAGAGGTTCTCTTCCCTCCCAACTCTGAATATTTACAGATTCTCAAGGATTCTTATGATTTGATCCTAGAGAATAATCTTCAGATCTTAAACTTGGTAATGTATTATAAAAAAACAGAACAGACTAATAAGTACAAAAAACAGGTGTCTTTATACCGATATTATTCGCGGTCTTTTTACATTAACTGTGCGATTTTATTATTTTTAATTTGTTTTTATTATTTAATAATTTTTATGTGACAATGAAAAAGGGATGAATGTAGTTTTTTCTTTATTACAGTCAAACTTCTATAACGATGGTTACATCATCTCTCCCATAAACCATAGTCGTTTAAGCTATTAACTGTTCTCGACTATGAGAGATATGACCATAAATGGGATTATCGCCTTCTTTATGTTTGACTGTAATAATAACCAAAGAAAGCAAGACAATGACGATACACGTAATTCGATTCATATCAACATAAAATCAAATCGTTCTCTCTAGAATATGCTAGAATGAGGCATTAATTTGTTACGTTATATGAAAGGTAAAAAGAGCTCGCTGGGAACACTAAAAAAAAAGATACTATAGACGCAAATTTACAGTAAAATAAAATGCTTAAAAATTTAATGATTATTGTGAATAACGATAATGATCATCGAAATAACGCATCAATTAAAGTGTAGACTGAGATCTATCAAAGTTTTGGTGAAATGAAACTTCTATAGATTTTTTGAGTACATTCATTTACAACAAAGAGATATTTTTTTGTCCAAGTCTTGGGCTAGTGCTTAATATCATCTATCATTTTGTTCTAGTGTTTCGGGAGAGATTATTTTGCAAAATTCAAACGTTTCGCCCGAAACACTATTTGTTCGATATTTTTTCTTGATAAAATTCTGTTTTGTGGCTTCAAATTACCTCCAACGAGAAAGACCATCTAAATGTAATTATAAACACACTATTGTTTTCCTGCCCGGAAAAAGAAAAATGTCGGTGAAGTAATTTTACATATAATCTTGACTTCAGTCCTAACCTTGACACTAAACAATGATAAAACAACCTTTTATTTACAAAATATCACAAACAGCAAAATCAGATCATGCGTTTGCCACTAAAAAAGGGGTGGTGTGAGGAATACAATTCAAAAATATCCAAATTGATTAGACCAGCTACGATATCAACACCAAAAGCAAATACAGACAAACCCCCTAAATGCACCTTCTATAAGTGCACACCCTCTCTAAATACACAGCATGGCTGGGTCCCAGCTCATAAGAGCTCTATATATTTTTCCCTCTGTAAATGCACACCCTCTAAATGCACGCTTTACTTATGGTCCCAAGTAGAGTGCATTAGGGAGTTTGTCTGTAATCATGTTTCGAAATTTACAATTCCATTGGAATTTTCTTTTGCTAATGAAGATGGATATTGATATGGTTTTCATAGTTCACAAAAATGCCATCTTGATTACAAATCAAAATTTATGAGTGTACGTTTACAAAGTCTATAATAGTTTCTCCGTTTACTGTTATAAAATAAATACATTTACTGACTATACTCTTAGAAACACAAGGATCGAACTCATTTTGACTCAAATAAATTCTCTTTGTATTTCTAAATGAAGATATACATATGATAACTTGATTACAGAAAGACGAATACTGTAATGACGAATAAAACTACGCATACAGATTATGTTTTGTCCGAGCAGAAAGCCTATTGTATCAAATTATTATGTGCTCAGAAAAGTCGCTTATTGTTGGGTAAAAGTGTAAAAACCATTGTTGCATATATACGTGTACTTATTCCCTGTTGATATACAAAATTGAAAAATAATTATACGTATATACTAATAATAGATTCTCAATTAGATCAAAAATTATAAAAAGGTAATTTTCTTTCACTTGTGAATAATAATTTTGACTTCAATTCCAAAATATTAAATAAGTTTAAGAAAACTATATCTATGATTTTCTTCTCCATATTATATAAATCACATCTTACCTTTTAAAAATATCATAATAATAAATGACATCTACAAAGTCCTCATCACACGATAAAAATGAAATTGATACTACTGGAAGAAAGCATATTTTCTATGTGCAAAACGAAAAATACCAATCATTAAGAAGAAGGAATCGCGGAAACATTAATAAGAATTCATGCAAAAATTGCAACCAATCTAACCAATACTTAGAGACTTTGGAGAAACGAGTCGAACAAATATCAAACAAAGTTAATCAGCTTGCAAACGCGACCAACAAAAATCAGAACTCGAGTTTAACTAAGAATGATTCTATCGCCTCTCCTGATTTTTCGCAAATGGTAAGATTTATTCTGTATTTCTCTGCATAAGAAGAGTAAATGCTGATTCGATTTTTATTAAATTCTATTGCTAATTTCATTTTTTAGAATACAGATGCACTGATAAACATCGTGACACATTTGAATACATTTCACCTTCATACGAATAGATTGAACACTGAACGTATGTAATTCGATTAGATACGTACGTATGTACATGTATTGCCTATATAGTCATACATAGCAATTGATCGTCAATTTAGCCAATGAAATTTGGAGAGGTGTTTTCATAATATCGATATGTACATGTATTAAAATAACAAAGATTAAAACGAAAGAACAAGCACAAAAAATTAACTGAGCTAATGAACTCATCGTCTCATAAAATTCGTGTATTAATGAAAGAAATATTATTCGCAAGGATAACCAGAGTTATTTATTTGTATATAAAGGAATTGATTATGAATTGAGAAGCTGCTGTCATAAATAGTTGTGAGTGGTATTTTATTAGAATGTTAGTAATGAATGGGTTTAACGTTAACTGGATCATTATTATCATTATTTGCATTAATGTTACACTGCTTTTGATTTCATAACTTCCTTTTGGCTCGCAAGAAATCAATTCGTTTAACATGTGAAATTTTAACGTGTAACAATGTCTATGTGACGAGTTAGGGTGGTACAGTTACTTTATCGTTACTGTAATCGTCATACAATTTGCTAAAATTTTCCGCTGTCTTCTTGATAAAACTCCGAATGCTAATAATGAGATAAAAGATAACGTTGTAAATTGCATCCGTATATGAGATATGAAAGCAAGATTTAGACATAATCATTTACTTTGCAGAATTATCACGTAGCTTGGCCTGAAAGAAATTGATGATATCATCGAATAGCTCGCCCAACCAACTCATGAGTCGTTGGATGAAGGTCGTACTCCATGAAACAAGCTGTTTGTTATAATCTGTCATTCATTTAATAGGCTTATTGACGTGGGAGTAGTCAGGTGACGAGGTTAGCAATTTATACTCTCTGTTACTTTTGGTATTAGTGTCACTATTAGAATAATTTTTTGTTAGTATCAATATTAACATTTTTATTGGATTTGTCGCGCGTTGTAACATTTGTATTGTTTACACGATTTATACATTATCATTATCGTTATTACTCGATTGTCTTTAAAATCGATTCTCAAATGTTAATCGATTCTCAAATATTAATCGATTCCTATCCCTAATGATGGGAATGTAGGGTTGTTAATGGCGCGGAGCGGAGTGAAATGGGTTCATTGTTTCGGGTTTTGCTCCAATACTGCTCCAGCTACTCCGGAGTATTTATAAGTCACATGTGAATAATTTGATTGGATAAAAGCTATATATAAAATACTTTATTAATCAACAAGTTTCATGCACGCTTTTCAAAAATAAAAAATTTATAATTTGATAAAAAATAAAATTTATGATTTTAAAAAAACAAAAAAGATAAAAAATTTATAATTTTGATAAAAATAAAATTAGGAAACAATAATCATGAATTTATTTACCCACATCAGCTTGTTCTTATAATAGTTGCCTTTTTCTCTTTTACCATAATGAAATTAACACTAACAATATCCAAATAATATATTTTCGAATCTGTTTTCACTACCTTGGAGTCAATGATTTCGCGTCAGGAATATTCTAAATCACCAGAATTATTAATTCATTTAACTTAACAAAAAACGAATTGCTGGACTTTTAATCACAAAACTATTTTTAAAATAGATCATCATTCTAGCTCCGGGTCGCTCCAGGTCACTCCATGTGGAGCATGAAGTGGTTTTGGTTTATATAATTATGGCTCCGGAACGGAGTGAAATTTAGAAATTACATAGTAACCCCGAGGATGGAGAATATGTATTGCTATGTATGAGCTGTGCGTGTGCTGCTATGCGTATACCAGCAACTGCCAATATTCATTATTCGTCAACTTCTCTAATATGAGTAGGTGTTCAAATAGGATGTATGGTTTTTGTGTTCTTTTTTTATATGATTACTTATTCGTATACAGTATATGATAAGGTGTGGTTTTCATTTTCATTTTCATTTTTTTTGAAAAGAGATAAAGGAACCTATTTTATACTAAAATGTGGATGCGTCAACGCGTTAATAATAATAGATGTTTGATATATTATTAGATCAAAACTCTAACATATCGATTAGACACATAATCCTTGAAAACATCTTATCAAACTCAAAGAAAAGATGGAATCGAATTCTCATGATTGTAGTAAATACGAATATTGTCAAAAAGTATGAGGAATGCTGGGAATTTTTCAATTATCACAAACGAATTTATAACGATGCAGAGATAAATGAGATAAATGTAACAAGATAAAGAATATCAATTATTCGAATGGATTCCTTTTGAAAGATTCACCAACGTTTGATATCTTGTAAAAGGAGGTTTTAGGACAATTTATAAAGCAACCTGATTGGATGGACTATTGAATTACTATGTAATTCCTGTGTGAAATCATAAAAAAAATAAATAGAAACTAAATAATCGACAAAAGTTTTGAAATCACTACACAATTCAAAGCAAATTACTCGAGTTTATAAGCGAAGTAAAAAATTTCTAAAGTGAAAATCACTTTTTTGTTTTGTTATAATCAAATTTTTCAAATCTGCTCTAAAATACAGCATTAATATTTAATTAGTATCATATAATAGGTCAATTTGTAATGTTAACAAGTTATAATATGGATGAACATTTTGTTTTTTGCCATCTTATTAAGAAGTACATAAGTGTAATGTAACCAAACTTTATGCACTCGTCAATCTCTTAATTTTGGGACACCTTCAGTGTTTAGTACATGTACAAGTATTATGTATGTTCGTAGTACGTATTATCGTTATTAAATTTCAAATTAAGATTTTCATAGAAGTTTTAGTCCGTTAAGAAAAAAAACATATATTTCTAATAGATGAAAGGTTTGTAACGAAAGTTTATTAATAAAAGCGTCTTCTTTAATTTAAATGTAATGCATTTGTTATAAGAGCAAAGTAATTTTTCTCCATAATAAATGGATTTGCCTCAATTTTAGCGTGACATGTACACTAAGATAAAATTAAATAGATTTTGATCACGTGAATTCGATGAAATCGAGAAGTAAAAACGCCATTTGCAAATACGTATTAGCATTTCTGACAAATTCTTCATGTGTGGTACATACGTACATCCATCCTATTCATTGTAACTAAAGAATTATCTCCCGAGTGCAGTATTGAATTGAGCGAGAGTTGCAAACCTAACGTGACAATAATCCTTTCTGGAATAGTGAAAAATAACGAAGTACTAGCTAGAGATATACTACGTCGAATACTTTCAAATATATCAAATTCAAAATTCTCGAGTCTGTCGAATCTAGAACCAGTTTTCGAAGAAATAACATTGGTAGACGTACTAATAAGCAAACTCAATGACATTTCTACGAATTTTCAAGCAACTTAGATCTAGTCAGGAGGACCGGCTGCATTGCAAGACCGAAACAAAATAACGATCTAACCGGAGGACAGATACCGATTAAACAACAAGATTTGCCGGACGAGACAACCGAAGAAAAATGCAAAGTCGCCAAAAATATTAGCCTTGTTTTAATCACGAAATGCGCGTAATCTTCCTATAATATAAAAAATAGTTATAATTAATATTTGCTTTCTAGTATCTTGTCCTACTAGCAATAATAATAAATAAGCTTTCAGAGTTAATGATAATAATAAGCTTTTTGAATCTGGTGGCTTACTGAGTTACCCGTTCAGTAATAACCGAGTATTTGGCCCCTACGAGTGTTTCTTGACGAACAAGAGGCGAGCTTTTCAGGGAAACCCCTACCGAGTGCTCCCGAGAGAGGCTAGCTTTTCAGGGAGACCCCTACCGAGTGCTCTTGACGAACAAGACGACAGCTTTTCAGGTATGATCTACTAGGGGCGGTGATCAAGGGTTTACCTCTTCAACAACCAATATCTGGCCCCTACTAAGGACCGTTCAACCACCAGATTCGAAATGCGGTAAAAAACAAAGGATCCTTTTTGAATCTGGGCTACGGCGTTATCCATTCAGTACAAGTATCTGGCCCGTACCGAGTGCTCTTGACGACCAAGAGGTCAGCTTTTCAGACCGAGTGCTCTTGACGAACAAGAGGTAAGCTTTTCGGGTATAGTTTACTAGAGACCGTGATCAAGGGGTTACTCGTTCAACAACCAGTATCTTATCTTATTAAGGACGACCGTCGACAACCAGATTCAAAAACATCCGCGAATCTCATCATTAAAAATATTAGTCAAATATGAATAAGTGATTAATACTTATCTTGAATCTCGTAAGTTTTTCCTTCGCGGTGTGGTAGGCGTTGCAGATTATGTTGAATTGCTGGTGTTTTCTTGTTTGTTTTGATGGTGTACGATAATTTCACGGTCGCTTTCATTTCTCCGTGTTCTTGTATCAGTTTTTCGAAGACGAAAAAACTAAATTACTAAAAAGAATTTCAGTCATTGTTGTTAAAGACACGAAGTGTTAGAGACGAGAAAACTAAATTACTAAAAAGAATTTCAGTCATTGTTATTGTTGAAGAGACGAAGTGTT